GTAGAAGGCAGAGCAGCTCCTCACGAAAACACCGGTGTTCTGCATCATAGAAGCGCACATACACACACAACTGTGCCGTGTCACACTGATCTGTTGACTCGTCCACTGCTACTGACATGGTTTCAGCTTTTTTCAGGTCCATCAGCAGAGCCTCAAACATATCTGTTGCTAATATTTCCACTCTTCGCTTGTTTGAGGTGTCTGATAGGGGCACGCTTTTCACTGCAGATGTCACACTGGCTTTGATTTTATCGTCGTGGATTACCTCGTCTAATATTGCAATCATGCAGTCTCTGACAGTTTCAGAATCAGTGAAGGGTCTTTTTTTCTTTGCTAAACTCCACAACACTCGCAGGGAGGCCGCCGTGGCCCTCTCTTGTGCTGTACATGTCCTTACTAATGTAGAACAACTCCTGTTATAAGATGCTAGCAGGCTCTGCACCTTAGTCGCTCTCTCCTCTGTCCCTTCAGGAAATGCTGTCCCAAAAGCTCGGTGCTTCTCAACATGGTGCCTCCGAATGTTATATTCTTTTAATACTGACAGGCTTTCGTTGCATATCAAGCACAGCGGCTTAGAGTTCAGTCTTTCGGGTAAAAAAAACATGTATTTRTCAGTCCAGGCAGGGTTAAAACGCCGATTTTCAGAGTCAATTTTACGTTTCTGACCTGTTAGCGACATCTTTTCGCGGTTGTTACTATTCTGGGCTGGCGTTGCTACGATACCAGCAGCGGTGCGTTCACGTACAAGAGAAAAGGTGGGAATTTTTAAAACTCTCACAGCAAATATGATTTAAATGTGTTTTTGCGGTTTACGTTGGGTCAGTCGGGGGTGGGCCAGTCAAAGACGGTCCGCGGGCCGGATGTGGCCCGGGGGCCGCCTATTGAATAGCCCTGGTCTACAGTGTACAACAAAAACATGAGAATTTGACTCGCTGTTGCAATATTTTTGGAGGGGACTGTATAGAGAACAAAGAGAAGAACCACAAGCCCAATGTCATCCATTGTTGTGTTGTAAATAAAATGACATCACATAGAGCTTTGTGCGTTTTTGATAAAGTGATCCCGCCCACATCGAGGCAGCACTCTGCTCAAACTAAGGTCATCTGTGGCTGGGTCTTACACTCAGCTGATAAACAATCATCCCTGGGAATATTCAGGGGTTTTTAAATTAATTTTTCTTAATCATAATCCTTCTTTAAAAAAAAACTGTTCGTTTTGTTTGGATTTTAGTATTCAGAGTGGAACAGAACACTACACGGTTAGTTTATTTTTAGGTTAATGTTTGTTCTGATTGCTTTTAGAGCTGACTGGGACTGCTGTGGTCACTGTGAGCTATAATGTGACGTCAATCAGGACAGCGGTCTGAGCAGCGTCGTGTTGCATTCGATTCAGCTAGATCAAAACAGAGCTGAAGAAAGAAAAGCCTAAATGTTGCCTGAACTTCCTGCAATATTACTTCTGTTCCTTATCATTTCTAAAGCTAGACACAGATGTTTATTTGTGGTAAAATATAGTTTTGTTACCCATCTCTATGCATGGCAGTGATCATAGTTTATACAAACTAGGGTGTGGAATAACTTATTTTTAGAAGAGCTCTGAGAAAATCCTTTTAAATTAATGGCAGATTATGAGGTGTGAGCCTAACTTGATAATGTATTGATGATCTGATTCAGAGAATCATCTAAACCTGCAGGATTTTGGACCATGAGGACTAGAACTAAAAAAAAAACTTGGCTTTAGTGTAGCTGGAATAATAAATGCAGCTCATGGTTTGATTTAGAAATGAAAACAATAAATAAATCAGTTGCAAAAATAAAAAGTACATTAGTGATGACTTACGTTAAAACATTGGCTGGCATCATTTGGGACTCTGGAGCTGCTTCTATCAGGGACTGCCATGTGTTGGTGGAGTTTGGGATTACAAAACCAAACTCAAAGAACCATTCTGCAACACAGAAAAACAGTGGATATACTGAGTAAAACACATAATCTGTCACACAGCAGGAGTCTTTAAAGGATCATACAACACAGCCAACAGGAAGTTTCTGAACCAAGTGGTTGATTCAAAGGTTACAGGTCTGAACTAACCAATGGGAAGCGAATTGATTGAATTTTCCAACAGCTAGTTTGGCCCACTCCACTTAAGCAAACTGCTCAGGCTGGCTCAGATTTGAAGGATGGCGTCTCCATGCTGTAATTTTCTTTTCTTGTTTTCATTGATTTTCAACAGTATTAAAATCTGGGCTCATGAAGGGCCATTCAAAAACATTTCAGTTTTTTTCCTCAGCTATTTTTGATGATCTAGCTCAGGGGTGTCCAAACTTTTTTTAGTGAGGGCCAAATACAGAAAAATAAACAAAGGGCCAGGCCACACACTAGAAGTGACATATTGATACATCAATAATGTGTGTCCTGATGCATCTCAGTAATCCAGGTAAAAAATCAAAAGGAAAAAAAATCAAAAGGAAAAAAATTGTATAGGTCCTCTGGGATATCCTACAGCGCTACCATTGGCAGTATCTCTCCATCCACTGTTAACTAACAATAGGTATTAATTAGGTGTGAACGATAGCCATGTGATGTGAGTATCAGTCACCTGGAGGCAGGACTCAAAAGCCTGAATTTTGCCTGAAACTCTCAGACTGAAGAAGTCTCTTGGAAGAGAGACGAAACATTTCATTAAAGAAGAACCCGTCCAGAGGACCTATACAATTTTTTTTCCTTTTGATTTTTTACCTGGATTACTGAGATGCATCAGGACTGCCTGATAGAGGGGCAAAAACTGTACAGC